GAGTTATGGAGAGGGATGGATGCATGTCTGATAGCAGAAATCTTTAATTACTTTCAAATGCAACCCCAAGTGTGCTGTGCTTTACTCAGCCTGGATCAAAGAATCTCTCTGTTCCCAAAATTTGTGTTGCATTAGCCAAAGCACTTTGGATGGCTCTGTCAGAGCTCGAGGCTTACCTGTTTATAATGAACCATTCTGACTGTGAATGCTTGTGGATTCTGTGGAAATCAGAGCCATTTGGTGTTAGCCCCTCTTCAAAGCCAGGTGATATGGAGCCCTGGGCAGCCTGATCTGGTGGGGGGCAACCAGCCCACAGCAGGGGGATGGAACTGGGTGGGTTTTAAGGTCCCTTCCAACCCAACCCCAATACGTGATTCTATAATTCGTGTTTCTATACGTGATTCTATAATACGAGTCAACTAGGTCTGGGATTTTAGAGATGCTTCTGACTGGGAAGCCCTAGCATTCTGATGGAAGATGTGCAGTTTGGGGATGCTGTGTATCATCAACAAAAGCTGTATCAACTCTGATTTCATTTCAAAGTAAAAAATCACTAATACTGTGGTCAGGGGCTTTGTTTCTGCAGTCCCTAAATATTTTCCATGGGGGTACCTGAGGATCTGCAAGCAGAGCTATTTGGAAAGGCCATAGAATGTCAGGAGAGGTTGGTGCGTTACTGTCAGTAGGAAGTGGGTTGCAGCATTTATCCAAGCCCTGCTCAGTATTACTGGTACCTCCCTGAAACACTGCATCTCTTCACTTGCCTGGAATAATTTGGTCATACGGAAAGATATTTCCTTCAAAGCTGAATCATTTGGCCCCTCACCAGGGGGGACAGAAAGACATTTTTTTCAAGGCACAGAGAAAAACAAGTTTCCACTCTGTAATCTGGCATCTCCAAGGCAAAGAGGACCTTGCTGTGAGGGCTTTGGCAGAGCTGGCATCACCTTCTGCCCATTCCAGGTCCTGACCCAATCTGATGGATGCACAGAGCAGCTCCAGAGAATAGAACTCGCTGCTGCAGGTGAGAGCAGAGCTGGGGAGGGAGACCTGAGCCCTGTAAACCTGGGAAGAGCAGAGAATGGAGTCTGCATTTCTCATGCTCACAAAAAGCCTATTGCTGGTGGATACAGAAAGTGCCTGAAATAGAAGTATTTTGGAAATAGTGAAAAAGGAGATTTCGGAAGGACTCCAACCGTTCTCCATGTGATTTGCTCAACCCTTCAGAGCATTTGTTGCTTTTTTTGGTGGTGGAAGCTATTCAGGGAATCTGACCTGGATTTTTACATCACTTTGGATGCCTGGAAATTGCACGTATTTAAAGCAAATAAGCCATTTGCTGAAAACATATTACCCAGCTATGTGTAAGGGGAAAGCAGGTATTAAGAAAAATTAAACTAGCTATAGTGCAGGTATTTTCTGGGCTCACAGTTTCCCATGTGTCACTGTTAAAGTTGGAGAACTAAAATTCTTGTCTGAAAAGTATCTGCTTCCTGATAGCAGTCAAATAGCAGATACATGAGAGGCTAAAATGCATGAGAACCTCAGCAGTCACAGAGCCTCTAGCAATCTGTGGCTCAGGGATTTGCCAGCAGAAGTGCTCGTGCTTAACAGTTCTCAATGGATTTTGTGCTGCTGTTCTGTGAGTTGGTCTAGCAGCTCCTTAAACTCATACTTGTGTCCGCGTCTTAAAGAGGGGAGTTTCCCCACTTCTTTTGGGATGAAGAACTTTCCTTTAGGATTGGGGACTATGTTTTTTTCCTTTCATTTGATGGCCACTGGTTAACTTGCATTGGAACAGGAGTCCTGGATCCTCACCCATCCTTGCCCTGCCTCATGTAATCATAGAGTTAGCTTTTGTGCTAGTATTTAGCTTTGTGCACTTTGTCTCCATGTAAACATCTCTTCAGATGGAAGAACTGACTTTGGGCTCCTTGGCGTGCCTCCAGTGATTCCTCCTCCAGCAAAACACCCAGGACCCTGTGCTCACATGCCAAGTTTTCCCTGTGACCAGTGGGATGTGCAGAGCTCCAGAGCACAGATGGCTTCTCTTCTCCAGGGCAGCATTTCCAAAAATCAGCCAAGGCAGCCCCAGAGCATGCTGAGACCTCTCCCACAGCAACCAGGCTCAATCTCCTTGCTTTTTCTATTTCTTGTCCTCTGTAAGGACTGCAGCTCTCTAATGGTCATGCCCCAGTGGTGGTATTCACCTGGTGGTGCAAAGTGACTTCCCAGCCCACACTTAAGTAGCAGAAGTTGACCAGAGTCCACTGTGCAGGGCAGGGATCACCTCTCCCTACACCCTTTAGTGTTCTCCACCCTTGGAAGATGCTCTGAAAGAGCAGAGCCTTTTTGGCAAAGCACTGCTGTTTGCCGAAGCCCAGTGAATATGTGTTGGCAGACTATAGCTCTCTGCTTGCAGCACTTGAAGTAAATGAGATTGACACAAAGGACAGATGGACAAAAGCTACGTGTGGGCAGCAGAGTGCGTGGAACCACAGCCTCCAGGCCCTATCCTGCAGCTCTGCCCTAACCCAACCATCCCTGCCACCAGGGCCAATAATGGTGCTGTCAGAGCTCCAGTGAGCAGCACCCCAGGTATTCCCACCATCTCCTCGCCCTTGCCCTGCCCTGCGAGGCACTTCCATCTCATACCAGAGGGCTTTGACCACTTTGCTCCCGGCTGCTGCCTGCCAGAGGCACCCAACGACGGTATGGAGATTAAATGATGGAGATAAATATGTCTCAAGAGCAGAGAGTTTTCTTTGTTAGTGATCAGGACAGCTTTTTGAGAACAAAACATGGATTTAGAGCTTAATCCTTGGCTCTTGCTGTGTCACAAGCACTCTCTAACCTTTGAAGAAACCACGGTCGTTTTGGAGTTTCATAGTTACACAATCCCTCTCTCCCCCTCCTTGTAATCACCAGCAAGAGTTCTGGGGAACCCAAGATTCAGATGTGAATGTGCCTCCCTGCCTTGAACCTGCTTGCATGGCATGTCTCCAACTCTCCGAGCTTGAGCTGGTCAGAGAAGTTCAAAGCAATCACAGTCCCTCTGATACATGGATACCTTACAAATAAAAGTGATGATGCGTTTTAGCATAAATAAATATTAATTTGATTTTTTTTTCCCACCATTTCATTTATTTGCCATCTGTGGTTCTCCTGATTAGAAAAACATGCCATCATCTAATCAAGGACAGGGAAGGATGAGCTGGGGCTTGCCTGGCTGGTCCTGTAGCACAGGGATCACTTTGCAGATGGATGAATCCAGTGGTTAATCCATGGCTGACATTGCTCATTAAATTACAGGGCAAGGAGTTAAAAGTTTGCTAGGATGAGTTCAAACAGTGCAGTTCAGCTGCAGAGCAGAGTTAATGGGTCTCTTAGCAGTAGGGATTCAGAATCAGAAAGCCCTGGCTGTGGATTGCCAGCCCTAAATTTCTGGAGATATCCTCCAAACTGAGCAATGAGGTGTTGGAGTGAGAGGGGGAAACACAAAAGGCAGCCAGTAAAGTAATCTGCAAAGGGGAAAAAACAGCGGACAAAAGGCTTTGCTGTGCCAGCATTACAACCACTCAGGCAGCCACAATAGAGTGCTTTCTCCCCATTCTTTGCACCCCAGCCCCAGGCATTTGTGGTTATTATCTTGCCTGGACCATATGGATGTTGACAAACAAAAATGCAGGTAGTTCTGATTTTTCTTGTGTGCATGGTCAGAGGGACATAGCCATCTGCCCTTCAGTGTCTGATTTTTCATTGTCCTGGCTCTGCTTTATTCCCTCTGCTACACAGTATGAAACAAAGACCTGAATTATGGCAGAAGATAAATGGAGGCTTTGAGAAACTATTAGAACAATTAGGCACCGAGGCACAGAACGGGGAGGGGNNGGGGGGGGGGGGGGGGGGGGAGCAGAGGGCTTGCTGCTATGAAGGCCTGACTGTTAGGAGCATTGGGAAGGTTTGGAGCTGGAGAAAAATGCAGAGAAAAGCCTGAAGTGGTGGCAGCTACTGCCAGCAGCTGCGCTGTGACTGGCCACTGAGGTGAGAGAGCCTGACAGCAGCCCAAGTCGGAGCAGGGCACTGCCATGCTATGCCATTTCTGT